AACAGATCTGCACTCGAACTAACGTTAAGCCGAGCTTTAGCCTCTTCCTCTTCAATACGACGCAGCTCCCTCATCTTCGCCTCTGCTTCTTCTCGCAACCTCTTCTCCTCAAGTTGTTGCCTGTACTCATCCTCCAATCGTTGTTTTTCTTCTTCTTCCCTTCTCTTCTCCGTTTCTAAACGTTCCCGTATGAGAGCCTCCTCGCGTTCTCTTCGCTGTCTTCTCTCGTCTTTACTGAGTCTTCTTCTTTCGTCCTCCTCTTCCCTTTTACGACTCCTCTCTTCTTGCAGCCACTTTTCTTCCTGCTCCTGCATTAAACGATCTTCTTCCTCAACTAATCTTCTTTGCTCTTCTTCTTCAGCCAATCTTTTTTGCTCTTCTTCTCTATCCAATCTTTCTTGCTTTTCCTTCTCTTGCTGAAGACGGCTGCTCTCTTCCTGTTCACATTCTCGTTGCAACTCCTGCTTCAAGCTGTCACATTCTTCGACTTCCATCTTGACTACTTCAAGGTAATGACGTTCTTCTCGAGCTAGTTTCAGACGCCTTCGCTCCTCCTCTTCACGCCGCCTGCAAAAGCATCTATAAGAATAGCAGTATTGAAGATTTAAGGAACTAACATTTTTTCTCCATGTTCCACAGCAAGTTTTTTCACTTGCTCACATCTCTCCCTCGAGTATGGTGATTCTATCACCTCTTGTCTCGACGGCCACTGCGAAACAAAATTTAAAAACAATAGACTAAAATCAATAAAAAGCTTTAAAACTCTCATACCACACATTTGCCGCTAGAATCTTCACTATTCATGTGAGCCATTCTACTCGGATATGGCTTTCGTCGGTTTTCGCGCGATGGCTGAAGCATGGAAATTCCTACCAGAAACAAAATAATTCACTAAAAAAGCAGGAGTCTAACAACTTCGCATCTCTTTGACGACCATTTTTTTGCTTGCAGCCAAAAAAAAATTGATGAGTAGATTGGGAAAAAAATAAAACGACAATACTGTATTCATCGTTGGCTCTCGCAAAGTGTCTCCTC